ATTTCATCACTACTCCAGAAATAAAATGGTGACGGACGATGGACAGACTCATTATTACCCCCCACACATTGCATGCTGGGAGAATAAAAAAATATATAATATTCACTGTGACTGAGTAATTCTACTGCTGACTGAATACTTTTACTTTTTCACATATTTGCTTCATAATACTTAAAAGCTTCTGCAGCAAAATACTGAAAGTTTTTATTGTGACAGGTGACGGACAGGTAATAGACAGGTGATGGACAGGTAATAGACAGGTGATGGACAGGTGATGGACAGGTGATGGACAGGTAATAGACAGGTGAAGGACAGGTGATGGACAGGTGAAGGACAGGTGATGGACAGGTGAAGGACGGAGCCTACTCACGCTGCCTCTCTCCAGCAGCAGCTGACACTTGCTGAGACAGTCGGGGCTGTTGGTGAACTCGACCAGAGCTTTCTCTGCTTGGAGCCGGACGGCGGAGTCGGTCGTCTCGTACAGCTGCTTACACAGGATCTCCAGCTGGGCAAGGCCCTAGATACAGAGGGGACGACAGGAGACAGCGGACTTATCAGCAAGAGACAGACAAGAAAGTCCAATGTCATCAGTGTATAACAAGAGACGCACAGAACATCATGTTCTAGTCACTAAAACAGAAAAACGAGTGCAATCATTTCATCCACAGGTTCGAGGAGCAGTGGTGAGGAGGCAACAGAGAATCGAAGCACATCTGATCATTTATATCATATATATTTACTAATATTTTCATTTTGATTTATTTCGTTGTTTCTTTTGAGCAGAAATACTAAACTTATTTTTTCATTAGCACCGTCTCCTCTTCAAACATCATCTTTATCTTTGTTTACCTGCCTTCGCTGTTTCCTCACTTAAAATAGATGAGATCCACACGTTTCATCACTTCCTGTTTATATTGTCCTGCTCTGTGTGAGTGAGTGGAGTTAGATTTTCTCACTTAATAATCAAACAGAAACACATGTTTACTGCCATTCATTCATGTGGTACCCAGGAAAATGCTTAGTCATGCTCCGTCACAGCGAGATGCCAGTTACTTATGAATAAATTCAAACTGGCGGGGCCGCCAGGTTAGAGGAGGAGATTAGCGGAGGAGGTGGTGGGAGCTGTGGGGTCTGGATTGTTAAGATCTGTGATGTGTTCACTGTCTACATCAGAGTCAGGAGTTTGGAGAACAGCGCGTGAAGCTCTGCTGGTCTCAGATAAGAGCTCAGCACCAAACCCTGTAGGTCTGCACACGAGCAGAGAAACTCCGAACCCGTGACTTCACGATCACTATACATGACAGACACTGACATCACAACACGTTAGACACATGTCAGCACATGGGACGTTTGATTGGTTTCTTCTGATGCTTTCACAGGAATCAGCTTCAGTGTAAATATTTTACATAAAAAATACGTTTGTTTACTTCATTCAAGTTCTAGATATTTGTTTTTTTTGTTTTCTTTCTACGTAGTTACTTAGTTGATAATTAATAATAATAATAATAATAATAATAATAAATGTCTTCCTCTCTAATATCACACAGCGTGTTGTGGAAAAAGTCATTATATTGTAAGATTATATATCAACTCATTCATTTGTAAACTTTTTTACTCCCTAATATTTGTACCTGCATCATGTTAAAACCTCTCGCTGTCTCACGTCTGAACTCATCGCTAACTAACGTGTGAAGCAGTAAACTGGCGTCTTCATCAGAGATGGTTTTCCAGCTTCCTGCTCACGCCAGGTTACAGATATCTGGATTGAAACAGACGCAGCTTCACGCTGTAGATAGAAACTACACAAACGTCATGACCCAGATTATACCCGCTGTCCACGATGGATATTAAATATAAACCTGTGGGAGACCACAAACTGATTTCTAATATTTTTCTCACGAGAACAGCATCACAGCATCAAACAGATCACATTCATTATTCATAGATATTTTCAGTTATATATATATAACTGGTCATTTTGTCTCATGACAGCCTGGTCGAGTCTTTATCTTCTTTTTAATCACATTCAACATGTTAACACATGAGTTTTCACTGAGCTTCAGGTCTGAACCTTCGTTATGGAAGCTTTACTTTGTCTGTGGGGGGGTAACTGTTACTGGAGAACTTGGGCCACTCAAATAAAATGAGATTGATTGATATGATTTTTCGTCTTTCACAGAAAAACCTCATGTGACGAACTTGACAGAGCTGCTGGGGCCTCAGCGTGTGGGGACGTAAAGTGTGGACGGATTAATAAAGGAAATAAAAGGGGAAACACATCCAGACAGTTCAGGGATGATTCCTCAGACAGATGTGGATCTTCTGTTCGGAGAATAATAAAAACTGTGTTGGACTCTACATCTGGAAAAGCTTCCTCCTCCAGAGCCCCATGGAGGCTGCAGCTGACACCGACCTGCTGCATGAGCATCTACTCGGCTTGTGTGGGGGGGAGACGTGGAGCTACAGACCCCCCGAGCTCCACATGCAACAACAACACGGCTACACCTCCATGCTTCCTGCTCCTCATCATGGAGGAGGCACGTTACTTAACATCGTGGAGGAGGACGCGGTCTCCTCTGCTCCTTCTCCCTCCGCGTTATCCCAGACATGTGTTGGAGCAGCTAGCTCCGGGCTGCTAGCTACAGCAGCACCGCTCGGTCCACGCACACAAACGAGCCCCCCCCCGGTGCACCACCGGCTCCGTGTCCGCCGCCAGCTCCGGCAGCCGCGGGCACGGAGCCCGGGTCACGGACCGGCGCTCCGACAAACCGGACCGTGTTTTCAAACGGGCTCGGGCGGGAGAAGTGGACGTCTGTGCTAACGTTAGCCTAGCTAGCTAACGACCCGCCGCCGCTCGCCGAGCAGAACAACATGTTGTTCCGAGGGTGAACGAGTCACACGGAGAATCCGCCCGTGACGGTTCGACACCGGGCGGCTCTCCGAGGTCCAGCGGGGCGCCACACGGATCAGCCCCGGGTCGTTAGCCTGACAGCTAACCGCCTCTCCTTTATTGTTTACTTCACTCACATACGGCGCTAACTCGCTCCGTTAGCCCGCTGCCGGGGAGCCTTCCTCCGGCACACGCGCCGGGAACACCGCCGGCTCTGCCCCGTCGGCTCCGGGGCTCCTGACCCCCTTCGCCAGCCTGGTTTCAGCCGGTGTGCTCGCAGCTAGCTCCGGCTAACCCAGCCTCCAGTGAGCACTGACAGGAGGCCACAAGTCAACACAGGCGGACACATCCTTTCTTTACCCGCCGGGCAGCAGCGGCGCGGCCGCCTCCTGCACTCGGCGGCCCAGGCACGGCCTCCGGAGCCGCCGCACAGCGCCGCGGTGCCCGCTCTCCCCCAGTGCCGCGCTCCCGGAGGAGCTGGCGGTTAGAAAAACATGAAACCTCTGCTCACCTGCACATGATCCGCCATTTTTCTCCATTTCATGCACCTCTCACTCCCCCGCTTATGGGTAAGGACAGCGACAACAGCGCCCCCTGCGGCCGCCGCTGGAAGAGCTCCCCCATTCATTTCAGTCCCAGTCAGATTACAGTTACTTTTACTCGAATACTCTGATACTCTAATACTGAGCTGTACCACCAGCACATGCTCCTTTTTACCAGAGTATTTCTGTTCCTCACACTTTATATTCTATTATATGTATAATCATTATTGTCATTATTATTATTCGTGGTAGTAGCAGTAGTATAAAGAGATCATGAGGGACTACTACAATTTTTAAAATTCTTTTATCCAAAGAGAGAGAAAAATACACAAAACATGCTAAAGTTCTCACACTCATATGAATAAATCCAAGTTAAAAAACTGAAGTTTTAAATGACATTATTACACCGAGCTGCCTGAAAGTGGAAACGTTTCTGTTGTTGGTCTTGTTGTGATTTCTGATATCACAACTAATAATCTTCTATTCAAAGAAATACTGTGAATGAAGAGACAGTTTTTAAATGAACAGATGTCTCTGGTCTGAACTGGCCGCGTCTCTGTTTGCTTCTCTCGGTGTTTTTATCTTTGTGTTGCACTGACGTGACTTCATGTTTTGAAGAAACTGGGAAATAAATACGTTTAAAACAATCTGCTGTTTGTTATTTGAACTGAATCTTTTTTTAAACTGTAAAGTGATGTCAGATGTTAGAGAATCTCGTTCATCAGAGTGTGTTTGTTCCATGAAACAGAAGATGAGGTGAATCGTGCATCTTCTTCCCTGAATCCACCAGAGAGCAGCAAACACCTCAGCAACAGACGGAATCAAGTTCTGACACATTCACTGAAATTCACATAGA